TGTTTAAATACATAAAAAAATAAATGTTCAGTAATCCATAAGCAACTATGTTTATACACATTTAAGTAATTAACTATATCGCATTTTTAGCTTAGTTGTATAGCTATAGGGTGGAATTCTAAAACGTGTCTCTCAGTGACTTAGGATGTGTGGTCTTATGTCATATGTGCTTTTGAAAATCCCACCTGTGGTTTCAAAGGGGCATAAAACTAGTTGCTCAGTTGAGAATGTCTGGTTATCCGGAGCAAGTTACGTAACTATAAGGCGACTCAACCTTGCTTTGTACTTTTTTAACTAAACTAAAGCAAATGAACTCCTGTGAAGAGTGTTAGTTTAGCAATTTATGCCTAATTGCTATCTATTAGTGCTGCTTAATGGATGCTAATTGTGCAGAAAATTTTTAACAAGCACATACAAGCAATTATAAAATTGTGTACACTTCTGTGAAAATAGATTTATTTAAAGTTTTTTTTTGTCTGAGTTTCCAGCAGTGTATCTGAAATGTTGGCCCTCTTAATAGCATTGAATTTAAAGTGTCTTACACACTTAATACAGATCTGTTGTGGCAAACCATAAGCATGCATTTCTGCAATATAAATCTACCACATTTGGGTTACTGGTATCAGCTGTCTTTTCAGCTACCTAACTGATTAAAAAATAATATTTAACACCTTCTGGAGAAATAAACTTAATTGATTAATAAAGGCTCCATTGCCCTTATGTATGTCTAATGAGACTGGAAAGAGCCTCTGAGAATCATAGCTTGGGAGGGTGCAGAATCTAGGAGTGCCATCAGTTCTACATGCTGCTTTTTAACCTTGTGTTCGGTGCCTTTGAAGATCTCGCCACTTTTATTTTCATACCAAAATATTGATTTAAGAGCATAACTTTTGGCATCCAGGTTTGAAAATTTTGGCTTGAATAATGTACAGTGTTTTCCTATCCACTTATCTTGATATTACTCTCTAAAAGGAGTTTTAGGAGCAGCACTCAAATCAGAGCCAGATGGTATGGGTGGCCAACCAGCATTGTGAAGGCAATTGGCCTTGTCAGATCCTCCCACTCCAGGCATTGGGACCCTCAGACTCATCATGTTTGAGTGAATTTCACCTGTATAAGAGAATTGGAAAAAAGCTCAAAACATGCAAAAAGAATCTCTTTTATGAAGTGGAGCATCATTACATCCTCCATTGTTTGCTGTTTGTTTGTTTTCATAATTTCTAATTATGAAAACATTACCTTTATACATCACCTTTACATACATACCTTTATACAATACCTTTCTATTAAAGCCTAAGTCTTAATTAGGCTTTAATAGAAAGAAGTATGGTGACCTACCAGCAAAATTAATTATACTAGCACTCTTCTTCTTCAAAGTGTTTCACAAACATAAACTAAATAGAACCCACAAGCCTGCTATGAAGTGTACTTACACATTTTTATAGTTTGGAAATTGGAAGCAGACAAGTTAAAGTAACTCGAATAAGGGCACTGTTACTTGTTTAATGTGAAAGTCAATGACAAATAGAAACTATCCCCAACTTCCAGATTTTAATTGGAGTGCCTCTCTAGTCACGTGTGTCCTGCTCTTAGAGGTTAGAATAGAAATGGGGCTGTTTTGATTGAGGTAGGTTGCAAATAGATATAGCATTCTTTAGTATGTAATGAAAAAAATATATACTGACAGACTGAATTGCTCAGGAAAGAAGTGTAGAACATAATGCTGATTCAGGTGCTGATTCAAATCCAACTTGGGGTCATAGTGAGTAAAAGTCAGTGTCTTATGATGATTTGTTCATTGATCTATATGCAATGTGTTCATGGCCCCAGCCCAGTTTCTAGTGGGCTGTTTCCAGCTCACCAAAGCCACCACAATTATCATTCTTAGTGGCAAGTGTAAGGATTCCTTTGACCTGAAAAACTGACTACTCTCCCCTCCCCCACCAGAGTTGGTCCCTTCGTGGCAAATTTGAGACTCATAAATGGGAAATTTGGCCATTCTGTGCCCATTCCAAGGTTGTTCATTAAGCCATTTTTATATATTTGTCATTAATAAAACAAATACATTAAATACTTTGAGGTTTCCAGGGCAAGGACTTGTACAGGGTTTATATGTTATACGCATCTTTGGCATATAACAAATATTATTTTTTAAAAGATATTTTAAATAAAATGCTATGTGTTTATTTAATAACTGCATGATGAAAACAGGCACTAGCACTGCTGCATCTGGTGTTCTGTCAATGTTTCTTTTTTCTACACATCTCTGTCTTCCAGGGGTTTATAAAAATGTCTATAAAAATTTAAAATACAAGGTAATATGAATGCATGTCAAACTGGAATTAAAATTGGATCAGCAATATTTGTTACACAGTTGTGGAAAGAAAAAGGGCAGTTTATCACAGGCATCACTGAATGTTGTCTTGGCATTGGTCTGTCCTTTGCTACATATACTGTGTGCTTGTGTGACAAAGTGTTCCTGTTAAGGATGAAGGGTCAGATTTAATAATAGTGCCAGTGCTAAAAGTATCAGAGTATGAGCCCCTCATCTAGAATTGTGAAGAGTTTGATCCTCACTTAAGCAAACTACTAGTTCCTTTATGAAAAGCGTAAGTTTTGTTTATTTATATTTCTTGGTAGATTTCAAAGAAGAAAGGGAGCTAAAATTGAATCTAAATCTATTAGAAATAAAATTTGTTTTAAAAAAGAATCAATAAAAACATTTTTGTCTGAAAGATCATAAGATCCCTTACTACCATTGATGAAGAGTTAGCACACTGATGACTAGTTCTGGTGTCTTGACGCTAGAATTAACTATCCCCTCCAGCAGAAATCTAGAGCAGCAATCTGAAATCAGCACAGAGTAGTAGCCCCATCAGGACATACGAAAGGGAAGCAAATACAGAGCATGTGTGGGAAGTATCACCAAAATAAGTGCTCTGCACTGCTACAACAGAGGAGCAGCCAGATGACATACATCTGTGGAACATTTCCATGACACCAGTGTTCATGATTATCCCAGTGCTTTTCTGATCCTGAACTTGACATGTCTCTTCCTCCAACATACTAATGCTGATTAATAACAGCAGATGCATATTTTGTTTCTAGTCAGCTGTGGACATGGAAATATTTCTTTTTGCACCAGCGTAATCTGCTGCATAC